ACTGAGCTTATCAATTACAATTAACAGTATTTCATTGGAAACAATTATTAAAAGTGTATTAAAATTTGTAGTATTATACAACTTTTTCCTCCCATGTCACTGAACACTGACTATGATGCAGTGCTTTCGTCGTTGAAACCAATATAAAATCACACATTAAATGAGTATTTTGGCATTTGGTATTATTACTGAAGGTGGTTCTTGTTGACGCAAACAATGAGACGACGGGGTTCCTTGTGATTCCCGCGTCCGAGTAATTTAATTTCAACCAACAAACGATGACATCACAATATAGAATGGTCAGTCACACAGCATTCATTCTGATTGAAATCCGTTGTACATGTAGTTAAAGGCTTATTTATACATATATATAATGTTTACATTTCCATATGTGTTTATTTATTACCAGAGTTTGGTTTACTTAACATTATTAGGTTTTCTTATATCTTATGTCGGTCGCATGGAACACGAACTTGAACGGTATGGTACGACACATCAACGCATCAACTATTTATCTTTTCAACGCTGTCTTGTTGTACTCCATTATCTGGCATGATTGAATAGAAACATAGATCAGATAGTGTAAATACTTTCGCACATTGAGCTGGGCAAATGACGGCAGTTGATAACGCGAGTATCCAATCAGCGACGTGTTGCCATGGCAGCGGCCTGGTTAGATCAGGAATCGGCCCAGCCAAAAAAATCACAGAAGAAATAAAAAGCCGTTTCTGGTGAACAGTTACTCCAAATTTGGGGTAAAATTTCTCGTTAATGGAAAAAAGATATCAAAAATTCAAATAGTAACTTTGTGCCCTTTGTGCTGAGTAAAGAGTAGAACTAGCTATGTCCGAGCTGTTAATCCTAAATTTGTAGGAGGAGATACACATGGCAATGGCGCGCGGGCTAGAAATTTGTTCAGATTTTTTCTACTAACTAGAGTGAAGGTATGACCTACCTGGGAAGTTTATGCGAAATCGGCCAAGTCAACAAAATCATAGAAGAATTAGATACGTGAAGACACTGGAAATCACACACACTAACGTGATTTTGAAATATATGTGTGGGGATAACGCTGTGCTGATTAAATTCACTTTAACGTACGTTAGACTCTTCTGGTCTAATGTCTTTTCACTAAATATACACCTCTGTGTCAAACTTGGGAACGATGGTCTCGAATTGAGTACTTGGTATTATTGTGATTATGCGATTGGATAAGTTTCTTAAAATGTACGTTGTACATTACAAATAATTTACAAATCGTGTCTTGATTATTGTGACCGGAACTGTAAAGCTCGAATTATAAAAAAAACACGTGAAGAGAAAAAAAGTAAGTGTTTTGTCCATTTTATTAGGACGGAAGCTGTACTAATGGTTTCCGCTTGTTATTTGGAAAACTGAAATATTGTAAGCGTTGCCGGTATGCGACCAGGTGAGTCAAATGTGCGTTGACTACAAAACTACAAAATATATTGTAATATTATTGCTACATTTCGAGTTATTGTTTTGTTTTGTTTTGTATGTTTTTTTATTACTTTGCTGTGTATGGTCGCGGTGTGGGAGGTGACCTTATGGTCTTGTCAGTAGATGGTTTGTCTGCGTAGATTTATTACTGCCGTTTTCTACATACTTTATTGCAATTGTAGCAGCTGAGTTAGGCATAAACCACAGAAGCAAACTGATTTCTTTCGTCACGCATCTGTACGCTTGTATCCGACCAAGGTATACATCTGTCTTGCATTTCAACTTTTAAATGATTTCCGCTAAATCCGGTGATGAGAGTCACTGAAGTTACGGGTATGCGTAGCTGCCCCCTTCTCGGTTGAACTGACCTTTATGCCAATTCAATTTTTGAGAAAAAAAACACGCCCTCAAAGTCGATCTCTTCGGGTCCAGTTTTCAACTGGCTGCGGAACCGGTGAGTAATATTTAACGTTTAATGATGTATATATTACATCCACTCAAGATTTTCACTTAAATGTACAACTATAAATCATAATTTTGTGTGAGTGTACACAATTGGATTTATAAATCAACGTCGGAAAGGAGGCCTCGCATTAGTTTTGTCGCCATGACACCAAATACATGTTAAGATTTGTAAATACCAGCAAACAACAGAGCGTTCGTAATGGTAAAAAACACACTGATTGCGGTGTGTGCTTATTTCAATGCTTTGTAGCAGTTCCGCACTGGATCTCTGAAGAAAAACAATTGATACGATCCCATTTTTCATATTTTATTTTATTTTGTCACATATTTATAGTTAGTTATTATTTTGTAAATTAATTGCCACTCTTATAAAAATATATTCTGTCGTTACGTTACATGGAATATCATTATTATATAGTATCAGTATAAAGGTGCCTTCAGTGAAAATTAATTCCAACTAAATTAAAGTATTTTACAGTACTGGTTTCATGTGTGTATATGATGAGGTATTCGGTTGTCATGGCATATTTTTTTACACCATTACAGAACTGTATTTCAAAATGTCGGATAGGAGTTGTTTCTGAGTCCATCCACCAAAATAAATAAATACTATTTTCAGTAATAGTTGCTATGGAACAAGACAATAATTTTCATTTTGTTCGGATTGTTGGCACACTTGTCTCTATATCGCATCATACGTATCACAAGAACAGATTTTCAGGAAATCATGTAAAAGTCAGATTTTTCATTACTTGAAAGGAATTCTAGCAATTCAAACATTTTATTATAGTATTGTTTACATTTTTCGTTTTACATTTCTTGTAACGGTTAAGAACCAGCGATCTACATTTTCATTTTTAAAAAAAACGCTCAAAGATTATTTTTAAAACTACGACGACATCGTGTTGATTGCAAAAACCTTAGAGCACATTGAGGGACTGTGCTTAGAGCCTGGTTCCCGCCTCGGCAATAGTGACCTTACAGGCGAGAACCAGGTTAGTTGTTTAAGGACACGATGTATTTGTTTTCATTCGTGGTTTGGTTGTTTTAGTATACGCTCGGATTATGTAAAACATTACATTTCATTTTAAAGGATTGACTTTTGACATTTGGATTGTCCTTTACTACAATCTGATTAAAATAAGATCCTGGTTGGCTTAATTTTTTTTTATATAATTACTATAAGTATTATTTATTTTAATTATTTACTCTAATCTCCCGGTGGCTTTCACGAACAAAACCATTCTTGCAGCAAAATAATTGTAACGTCAAAAAATAATTAAAATAAATAGTAATTATATAAAACAAATAAATTAAAAAAATTAAGCCATCCAGGATCTTATTTTAATCAGATTGCCTTTCCTACAGCTTATGAAATAGCGCCCGCTTGTCGAATCGCGTCTTCATTTTGTAGTACCCCTAACTCGCTGCGAAACACGAGCTTACAAATTACTGTATTATATGTTACTAAAACAGCTCTTCGGCAAACACAACACATATGAAGCAAACTATGTTGATAAATACCCGAAATCCGAATTACTGTGCGATTGATTCGAAGATCGGTATTATAGGCTTTGATAGGGCTTCCTAAAGTGTTAATTAATATGGACTTGCGTAGTTCTACTTCCGCTTTGGTCTCGCGTTTTATTTTGTGTGAGCGGTCGTTGTGTAAGAAATTTCTTTTTTCCTGCATTATTATTATAGTATGCAGTTTATTTCTGGTTTGGAAAAGTCGTGACATGTCGTCGCATTACCGTCGAAAAGACAGTTTCAAAGTTACTACGAAAGGCGGTCTACGGACTTTCGGAGGTAGGTGATTCCCCCTCATGTGCCCACGCAGCATTTCTCAAGGTCGTGGAGGGCAAGCTGCTAAATCTGGGACATGCCGTAGCTATATTTGCCCCATGATGTAATGAAGATTCCAATCATCACATTGCTTCTGATTTTCCGGTTCAGTTCAGTATTATCAACCTTTATAAACTATGGTTTTTCACTCAGCGAATTTTGACGATCTGCGTTTCCCAGTGTCTCATGAATTTGACTGGAAAATTATGTCCACCTTTGTTTATGGCATTTAGTTCATGATTATTGTTTCTGTGTGTTTATGCTAGTAGTTTTTGTGTTATGAAAGAAAAATAATGTTTTACAGATCATGATGATCGAACAATGTCACCGCCCTCACAGTCATCATGGAAAGATAGGAGATCTCGACGAAAGGGTGGCCGAGGTTATCGGAAGAACCAGAGTAGTGGCGATGATAAAATGAGAGATGGTCCAAATCCTAGGTCACGCCTTGAAGATGACGATGGGGATATTTCAATGGATGATGCTGGCACTGCAGGTGGAGCAGGGGGTAACAGATTGTGAGTAGTACTATTGTCAATTGACTGTAAACTGCTTTTATTTATGGTAATACAAATTTAGTGAGTCGGTTAGGGCAGATATAACACCAAAAATGCTGATCTGCCCAGTTTGTGACCAACAAGAAATTGAGAACGAAAATATTTTCTTAATTGCAACCTGTATAACAAGGAATGAAAAAATATGATTACAAAATATTAATTATAGTAAAATCAACACTTTGGTTAAAAAGTAAATATAATAATAAAACAGTCATGGAGTCACCAAATTTATACACATTTGTTTTTTTCACTCTTTTCCTTATTTAATTATATGTCCAACCAAGATCCCATGTCATGGCACATGGTTTCATTAAATTATTATTACATTGTGGTTGTCATTCTTCCATAGTGCCCCTTATGGTGCAAGGCCAAAGTCTAGACGTGGATATCGTCCTGGTGGCAGAGATGATAACACGGATATGGATGCACACAACAAATTTAAAAGACTTGGGTTACCAGTTTCATCTAGACATGGAGGTAGAAGGTCGAATAGAGAGACCTATACCTGGATGAAAATTTATGTAAGTGCTAAGATTTTTTTTATCAATAATCAAGTTCTTTTTTTCAATAAAATGAATCTAATATCTTGAAATAAATTGCTCCCATTGTCCTGTGTATATATATGTCTGCTATGCACTGTGTGAGCAATCCATGTCACAGCTTGTTTAATTCACAATGTGCTGTTTTCGTAATCTGCCATGCATCATCCTATGATTTGCATATACAAAAGGTTAATTACAAATTAGCATCCACATTATTCAAGCTATTGTTCTATCTTATTCTTTTTTTAAGATTCCATTTGGAAATAAAAACAGTAAAGAATGGCTGTTGAAATCCATACAGGATTTATGCACTGTTCCATTTCAGCCGATTGATGTAAGTTGACTTCTTTCTTAGAGACTTATAAAATAGTTCCACACCTAAAATGGTACAATGCCAAGTAATATTTATTGTTTCAGAGTACCCTATTGGCAAGTTATTTACACAAAATCCATAATCTAAAGCAAAACAATCCACTTGACAATTTTTTTTACACATGGTATAAAGAAACAGCATTGAAATGCTGAAATTGTTTGAAAATGTTTCCTTGTTAGTTTCACTACCTGTCTGATGGTACTGCATGTTTTTACGTTGATGATAAGCGGGCTGGCTATGCTATAGGAGAAGTATCTAAAAGAATAACAAATACCAATGGACATAAGGTAAGTTTTTAATGTCCGCTTCTTCTAATATATCAGGTATTCTTGGATTGTTGATAACAAATATTTCCTGGATTTGTATTACCCTTGCGTAATAGTTAGTTATCTCAATCTTAATTTAAACCCAAAAGGAATAGCATGCAACATTCTCTTCTAGTTTTTTAGCACTTTTATCTATAGTACTTCTTTTTTTAACATTGACCTCGCTTTCGAAGTTTACTGCCATATTTATTGACCTGTATTAATTTGGGTTCGTTCCATACATACGTACGTCCGGAGCTATATCTCGGACACCCATTGACGGATTTCATTCAAACTTTACATGAAAAATATACATAATGTCTTACATATGCGTGTCAAGTTATGATCGGCCAACTGGCGGCCATTTTGGATGTAAAATTTGCTATTTCTGATACCTAAACGTGTCCGCAGCAGTTTCTCGGAGATGACTGGGCTGATTTGGATCAAAGTTGGTATGATGATCATACATATTGGATTGTAGGTGCACTTTTTTTTTTTTGTATTTTGAACAAATATGGCCAACTGGCGGCCATCTTGTTTTTTATGGTACTCATGCTACTTTATCTTGAATGCAATGAACATTTCTGTTTAAATTTTGTACAAAGATAGTATACCAAGAGATACATCTGCACTAACATGATTTTTGTGACTCATTCAATATGGCTGGCCGACGACCAATTTTCATGTAAAAGTGCTAAATCGTCATTTTTACAAGTCAGGAGCTGTTTCTCGGAGATGACTGGGCCGATTTGGATCAAACTTGGTATGATGATCATACATATTTGGTTATAGGTGCACGTCATACTTTTTCCGTGATTCAAACAAATATGGCCGACTGGCGGCCATTTTGTTTTTCATGGTACCCATGCTACTTTCTCTTGAATGTCATGAAGGTTTCTGTTTAAATTTTGTGCAAAGATAGTATACCAAGAGATACAACAACATGAACATTATTTTTGTAATTGATTCAATATGACTACCCAATGTCCAATTCTCATGTTTAATCTGCACTTGCACTCGAGTGTAGTAACCTTCATTGATGTTTTTGGCTTCATGACTCGTTCATGAAATTAAATTCATAAGCTATATTCAGACAGCGATACAATGAATACTTATTTCTCACTATTAATGTGGTTTACCAGCATTCCATTGGAAAATAAAACAATTAAATTCTTGTTTCCACTTTTCCACAACAAACTGACGACACGCTTTGAAAATAAATGGCTGCCAGGTCAGAGGTCAATGTCTCAAAATATGTATTTTAGACATGATTGCGAAAATAAAGTGTATATATTTATTCACTTTTATTAAAGCAGATTAATTTAAAATAAATAAAATAATTAAAGTAGTTAAATTGTAGCTAGTAGAATGGAAAAATGAATATTAATGACCTCATGAATATTAATTAGCGACCAGCACTTAAATCAGCCTGGGCAGAGCCCTGTCAGATCACAAAATTTTGGACGGGAACTGTGTCATTAACAATGACTTGTTGACACTTGTATTAGCTGTGCATGTATTTGCATTGTCATGTTATACTTGATATCTTCATTGAATACAGGTGGTTATAAACTGTAAACCTCACCCTCCACTGGCTGAAAGATTCCTTAAAAATATTCCATTAACAGAAGCTCAGATAGAGATATTGAAACGAAGTATGAGTAATCGATACGATGTCCTGACTCACAAATTGAACCTTAGTAATTTGCTTCAGGATGAAGGTAAGTGCATGCAGTACAGACTCAACACTTTTGTAACATCAGATATTTACAGGATAATTATATCCAGAATGTACTTATTACCAGTCTACCATTGAGCAGAAGATGCATGTTTCTAGTTATTGACTCTCTAGGCAAGTCAATATTTTATAGTAGTAGTTTATTGCTATTAACTGACAGAAACATTGCATTTCTAAGGCTGCAATAAAGTTATTGTTATTATATTCACTGCATACCTCTACAGAACTAGATCAACCAGTATTACCTGCTGCTGGAATTCATCATCACACCATTGTTTATTGAACTCATTTCTTGACCCATGGACATGTAGAACTTTCCCATTATTTCATTGGGATTGCTTTCTTGTTATAATCTTACAGTAGATGAAATAATAAGTTGTTCCCCAATAAACACTCGTCTCTCTTCCTCATATCAGTAAATTCACTAATTTACACTGCTTGTGTATAGGTGATGTTGGTATTACAAGTAGATTCATGGCATAATTTATGCCACTACTCTGAGAGATTGCCCGCAACGCTGAAGAAACCCCATCAAGTTTTATTGTGAATCAGATCAGAAATGTTATGCACGTTTATCATTTCATTAACATTTTTTCATTTTCATTTGTTTAACACTTTAAACATGACAAAAAAACAGAGTTGGCACTCACTAGCAAACTGAAAAGAAGTGTAAAGCGTGGTTTTTGCACAATTAACCTCTATTTTGAGCAGGAAAATAAATAACAGTTTCCGACTGAAAGGTGTAGTTCCTAACAGCGGCCATGTTCTTTTTACTGCAAATTACCAGCACATGTGCAAAATTATAAGGGGAGCAATAAAACAAAGGATTAGGGAGGGGGGTCAAATTCACATAATTCTCAATTTTAATAATGATGATTTCAGTTATAATTTTTTTTCAAAAACTCCAGATATGAATTGTATATAATTGTAAACAATTAAAAATATTAACTAATATATTTCTGGCAATATATCCCATTTTAATTGAGTAAATGTGTTTCACTGTATACAGTAAATCTTGTTTATTTAAAAAAATATAACTATACATTATGTTAATTAGTATGCAAATTAGCCGCAACCCTAAGAAAATTGTTTGGAAAGAACACTACATGGTTAGGTACTCTTTGGTTGTGGCTAATTTACATAATTATATAAACTTTATTGTTATGCAAAACAGGTGTGAAACAAAATGAGAGAAAAAACAAGCAAGGAAAAACATCAAAACTGACAAATTGATAACAGTACATCTTTATTATTTAAAAAACATTTTATCTTTTTTTTGCTAAATGTGAGGGTGATAATGCTGATAGTTTTTTTCTGTCTCCTGCCTAAAGATCACGGTCAGGCCTCTGATTTTGGAGGGGACCCAAGCAGAGCAAGACATTTCATGACATCTCTAGTAATTCACGGACATGTCCCATAACTAGTTGATGAATCCAATACTTGGCTACTACATGTATTGAATTTATATTAAACTAAAAACTCTAAACACAAAACCCGCGGTTATTTTTTCCCCTGCTATGATATTTATGGAACTATATGCATACACTTATTATTGCTGGACTGTGTTCTGCTTAAATACCCAAGTCTTTCAATCGCCATATAGTTAGTTCTCATTCATTTGGGTTATTTTGACAGGTCACATGTTAATTAAGTTTATCTAATAAAACAAAAACGAGGTTAAAGTAGACCTGCATGTTGTATGGTACCTTTGTTGGTGCATTCGCACTTGTGGTAAGCGAATTATAGCATGATTATGCGTCAACGTAGTCTAGTTAATGCTGGGCAATGACGCCTCAGTCTTAATCCCCAACACATGACATATGCAACGCACACCAGTCGTAAACCCCCGACATGACATGACATGACATCAACATCAACTGATGCCACCATTCATGCTCATGTGACCTTCTATCTCATGCATGCCTCGCCCTTGCTATTTCCATTCACATACATATTCTAAGCGCGCACGCTCGTGATGGTCGTTTGCCTAATCCTTCTTGCCATGCAATCGTCAAGCTTTCCTGTATCCTGCTTTGCCTTAGCATAGTCATTCCACGTTCAGAAAGTGACCTGCACCCGTCTCCTAGCTATCCCGCCCACCTGCCACCTCATAATTTAAGCATTCACCTCTTGCATCAATCTGTATTACATTTCAACATTGCTTCAATAAAATTAGGGGGGTTGTCATCGCAGTGCATGTGAGCACCACTCGATTAAGATGCTGCCATTCTTCGTGAATAGAGTCAAACATGCGACTCTGTGCATGGAAATGGTATTTGCAACGGCGGTCGGGTGGTGACCCTGTGTTGACTGGCCTCAATCAAGTACCATACTATTCTCTTCGTGATGTGAATCAAATCAAATCTGCGACTTGTATCACGGCGACGATGCTTGACTGTGGCTCACAACCCTTCTACTCTCAGCCAAGACTTGGTCTCTAGTGTCATTTCTTAGCCTTAAGTGTTCTCAAAGGCTATGTGTTAATATATAAGGATTGGTTACATTGAAAGTCTTCTGACAAATATTTTCATTTTCACAGATTTGAAAAGTAATAACATCCAGGCAATTCTCAATCGGCCAAACATCATGGAAAGTGTTATAAAAATTATCGCAGAGAATATACCCCAGGTGAGCTTGTAATAGAATACGTCATGCACTGCATTACAATATAAAACGAAGCAATTGCTTTGATACTTGGTACATGTGTACCTTTGGTGGTTAGTATCAATTCTATAATTTCAGTGAATATTTTTGATGAAAGTGCTATTTTTGATTTCTTCTTAAAAAACCAACTATCTAATTGCATTGATTGATATTTGGTATATGTGTACCTTTGGTGGACCTCTATTAGATCTGAATATTTTGTGAAAATATCAACTCTATAATTTTTGCAAACATTTTTGTAAAATTTGGTAAAAAATTCTATGGTTCAATTCTTGATACAATGATCAGCAAAATACCCACAATGTTCCTATTCTAAGTCATGTTTCAGTGATGAAAGTAAAGGCATGTACCATAATATCTCTAATTTAGGCATCAAGGAAGAGTAAAAGGCCTTAATTTAGTTCTAAAATTGGTGTCATGAAATGTTGAAAATGTACAGTCAAGCCAAACAAATACTAAGTATATTTAATTTAATATGCATTACTTTTAATTTTGTTGGTACTAAAAATTATAGTCTTAAAAGAATTTAACACTTTTTATGGTGATAACAGCTCATTGTCGAAACAAAGTTTACCCATTCATGCTAGCCACAATAAACATTGTTCTCTTGAATAAGCATCAGTGACTACGTAAAACGTTGATTACACTCTAATTCAAGCGTCAAAAAAGATTGAAATGTTTGATAAATGATGCCTAAATTAGAGTAAGCAGTGTGCATGTATGTACCCTGAAAATTGAGTTAGCTGCAACAATGCTTTGTTCTTGCCCTCCATGGTTGAGAACATTTTGCTCACTACACCTCAAACCTGAACAAGTTTGTGATTCTTCCAAGATCTGATTGGAAACTCTTCTAGAACATGCGTCCAATCAGAGTTGCCCTATCATATGGCAATGAATATAAAACGAAAGGTTGGGTGTTCAATTGCTGCAGTAGACACACTTAAATATGCACTCACTGAATACAATCTGCCAATGTTGACTGGCAGAAATGTGTTACACATTGTATATTATTATCTGTTTGGACTCGTATGTCATCCCCAATTGTGTTGACACAATTTCTCAATAAATTTTTGTTTTCTAATATAGATCACCTCACTGGACCTCAGTAACAACAAATTATATAGTTTGGATAATCTGAAAGAGCTTGTGGGTAAAGTGCCATTACTTCGAAACCTTTCTCTGGCTAAGAATATGGTAAGTTTTTGCAAATTAACCCACTTCCAATGGGTCCTCGGTTGTTTATTCTTGAAGTACAGTACATTTTTCGCGGAAACTTTGGCTTTTGTGGCATCATTGTCGCATACGCATGGCTTCATTGGCTTTCATGGCCTCAGCATCGCATCATTGAAAATTGAAGCTGTGTTCGCCTCTCTTATTTTGTGGCATCATCGTGGCCTCAGCTTCGTAGTCTCATTATTAGTCCCCGTTCGGACGCAGTCCGAAAACGGGGACTTATGTTTTGCCCTGTGTGCGTCCGTCCGTGCGTCCGTCCGTCCGTGATCACCTGTATCTCGAACATGCATGGATCGATTAAGTTCAAACTTCACTTATACATCACACATTATATGGGACATATGCACATGCATTTTTTTCATGATCCGATTAACAATAGCCGAATAGCGGCCATTTTAAGGCCGAAAATGCATCAAAATCG